CCTGGTTTCCAGTGCCCTGGTGCCCTGGTGTCCTGTGTCCAGTGCCCTGGTGTCCTGTGTCCGGTGCCTGGTGTCCCATGTCCAGGTCCTGGTGTCCTGTGCCCTGTGTCCAAGTCCTGGTGCCCTGTGCCCCTCTCACGGCCTGCCTGCCTCTCTCCAGAGAGCACGGACGACGATGCCATCTTGGCTTGGCACTGGGAGGAGGTGAAGGGGCCGCTGCGGGAGGAGAAGGTGTCGGCCGACACGCCCATCCTGACGCTCACCAACCTGGTGCCTGGAAATTACACCTTCAGGTACGTCTCTGTCTCCCGGCAACGGCGCCCGGCTCCGTCTCTGACTCCGAGCTCCGGCGGCGTGCACTGACCCCCTCTCCCCCACCAGCCTGACAGTGACGGACTCCGACGGGGCCCAGAGCTCGACCCTGGCGACGCTGGCAGTGAACAAGGCGGTAGATTACCCGCCAGTGGCCAACGCCGGGCCCAACCAGGTGATCACGCTGCCGCGCAACTACATCACGCTGTACGGCAACCAGAGCACGGACGACCACGGGCCGCTGGGCTACGAGTGGACGCTGAGCCCCAACAGCAAGGGCAAGGTGATGGAGGTGCAGGTAGGGCCGGCGGACGGCGGGGCTCGGGCGTTTCCTCCCGGCTCTCAGCACACTGTCACAGCCCCTCTCTGCCATCCCTGTTTCAGGGCGTGATGACCTCCACCCTCCAGCTGTCTGCGCTGCAGGAGGGCGACTACACCTTCCAGCTGACCGTCACCGACTCCGCTGGCCAGCAGGACACCGCAGAGGTCACCGTCATCGTCCAGCCAGGTGTGCCTGTCCAGCCACGTCTGCAGGCCTGTTTGCCGGTTCTTCCTGCGGTCTGTGTGTGACGGTCTGTCCCCCCCCCTCAGAGAACAACAAGCCCCCGGTGGCAGACGCAGGGCCGGAGAAGGAGCTGACCCTGCCGGTGGACAGGACTTCTCTGGACGCCAGCAAGAGCCAGGATGACCAGGGCATCAGCAAGTACCACTGGGAACAGAGCAAGTCAGTGTTCACAGTGCCTACAGACCCCTCCCCTCCCCCTCAGACAGACCCCACCCCCTCCCCCCGACAGACCACCCCCTGACACCCTGTACAGACCCCTGGACAGACTGGTCCTCGTGCCCTAATGCCCATGTCGGTGTGTCGGTGTGTCGGTGTGTCAGGGGGCCAGAGGGGGTGAAGCTGGAGAACGCCGACAGCGCTGTCGCCACGGTGACAGGCCTGCAGGTGGGCGAGTACGAGTTCACCCTCACCGTGACGGACGAGAGAGGCCTGGAGAGCAGAGACAGCGTCCGAGTTGTCGTCCGAGAGGGTGTGTCCTTCCCGCCGCCGCGCCCGAGTCTCGCCGCTCTCTCCCGCGCGGCGTGCTGACCCCACGTCTCTCTTCCTCAGAGGTGGACCAGCCCCCGCAGGCCCGGGTGCAGTCAGGGGTCCGGGTCACCCTGCCCGTCCGCACCGCGGCCCTCGATGGGTCCCACTCCACTGATGACAAGGGGGTGACCAGCTTCCTCTGGACCCGCGATGAGAACAGCCCGGCCGCTGGGGTCCGTACGCCTGCCCGCCTGTCCACCTGTCCATCCGCCCGCCTGTGGTGACCTTTCTGCTCCCTGTAGGGCCGCGGCGGTCGGCCCGTTTTGATGGTGCTGTGGGCTGTCTGTGTTGCAGGAGGTGTTGAACAACTCCGACCACCAGGCGGTGCTGCTGCTGGGAAACCTGGTGGAGGGCAAGTACAGCTTCACCCTGACCGTGACGGACAGCAAGGGCCAGAGCAGCACGGACCACGGCACCGTGGAGGTGCGGCCAGGTCAGTCCTCCGCTGACCGACTGACCGCCTCGCCGGGCCTCGCCGGGCCTCGCCGGGCCCCGCCCTGACCTGGCACCACTCTCCCCAGACCCCTGGGCCCGCGACCTGGTGGAGCTGGTCCTGGATGTGCCGGTGGCCCAGCTGACGCAGCGGCAGCGCGGGATGCTCCTGCGACAGGTCGGAGTGCTGCTGGGAGTGCTGGACAGCGACATCACTGTCCGAGAGGTCACCGCCTTCAATGAGCGCAGGTTAGGGGTCAGGGAGGAAGCGGTTGGATTGGAGAACTAGGGGTCATGACTAGAGGTCATGCTAGCGTCAAAAGGCTCTTTCAGCATTTAGAGGTCACAGCCCCTCTCCTGTGTGGATCTCTGCCTCGTTAGTCCGTTCTCCCCTCTCTCTCTTCTCCATCCCCATCCTCATCCCCGTCTTCCTCAGTGATCAGCCTTTCACTTCCAGGTGACACATGGGTCAAGGGTCAAAGTGCAGCAAAGGGTTTTCTGTGTAGCTTGAGAAGCCCTGTCAGAATGTGGTCAGCATGAGGTCAAGGGTTACAGGCAAGGAGCTGGGCCTGAATGTGCTGGTGGACAGGAGCAGTAATGACCTCTCCCTCTCGCTCCCAGTACCCGGCTGGTGTTCCTGGTGCTGGGAGGTCCAGGCCGCCCCCCCCTCTGTGGCCGGGATGTTGCCGTGACGCTCCGCAGCAAACTGCACAAGCAGAGGAATGACTTCCTGATCTTCAGAGCCCGACAGGTGGACACAGTCAGTAAGTAGAGTAAAGAGGAGGTGGACACTGTCAGTGAGCATTGAGGAGGTGGACAGTCAGCATACAAGAAGTGGACAGTCAGTCAGTGTAGAGGGGGTGGACAGTCAGTCAGTGTAGAGGGGGTGGACAGTCAGTCAGTGTAGAGGGGGTGGACAGTCAGCGTAGAGGGGTAGTAGGAGCTACAGTCCAGCCCTGTGGTGATGCGACAGGGGCAGCTCGCGTCTCTGAGCTCTTCTCTCTGTCCCAGTCTGCCAGCTGAACTGCTCGAACCACGGGGAGTGCGACTCCTTTACCAAGCGCTGCGTCTGCCACCCCTTCTGGATGGAGAACTTCTTCCGAACGCAGCTGGGAGACAGCGAGAGCAACTGTGGTGAGACCTGGACACAGGCACGCTGACACTGGACAGACACTCAGACACACTGGCTGGACAGACGGGCGAATGCCCTGACAGTGTGATGTGCAGATGCACAGATCAGACAGACTCGACCGGGGCACTTGCATACTAACATGCTGCTTGGACATGATGATGGATGTCAGCATCTCCTGTCTCCCTGTCTGACTCAGAGTGGAGTGTTCTCTACGTCACCATCGCATCCTTCCTCATCCTGGTTGCCATGGGAGCCCTGTCCTGGGGAGTGGCGTGCTGCTGCCGCAGGTGAGGGGCCGGACAGTGTGTGTGTGTGTGTGTGTGTGTGTGTGTGTGTGTGTGTGTGTGTGTGTGGTCTAGTGTGCTGAGGAGTAGAGTATTACATAAAAATGTTGTCACAATGTACACTGTAGTGTTCAGTGTTTTATATCTGCCATATTGAGAAGTCTTGTGTAACTGTGTTGTGTAACTTCTGTACTGTGCAGTATGGGAAATGTTGTATAACTGTGCTGTGTTGCTTTGTGTTGTGTTGCATTGTGTAAGTGTGTTTTGTAACTGTGTTGCATTGCGTAGCTGTGTTGCATAACTTAGGTGTTGTGTTGTCTTGCAGTGTGTAGCTGTACTGTGTAACTGTTGCATTGTGTTGTTTAGTTCTGCTGTTTAACTGTGTTGCATTGCATTGTGTAACTGTGCTGTTTAACTGTGTTGCATTGTGTAACTGTTGCTTTGCGGTGTGTAGCTGTGTTGTATAGCTGTGTTGTGTAACTCTGCTGTGTCCCTGTGTTGCTTTGTAGTGTGTATCTGTGTTGCATCTTGTTGTGTAACTGCTGTGTTGTGGTGTGTTGCAGGCGCCGCGGACGGGCACGCAGGAAGAGCCGCTATAAGATCCTGGAGGCTGAGGACCAGGACAGCCTGGAGCTGCAGCCGCCGCGAGGTGAGCACAGAGGGGGCTGTACCTGACCCCCAGG